AAAAAAAAAAAAAAAAAAAAAGGAAAGAAAGAAAGAAAAGTAAAGGAGATCTTTCTTTTTTTGCGCTGAAACAAACATGCACCGGAAAATGATGACTCAATCCCTCGAAGAGAATAAGAAAGTAGAGAAAAGAAAAAGGAAACATGCCCATATACCAGGTACCCAACGCTAGACAATCCAAATCCGGTAATCCGGCGACAATAACAATAGGGGACAGATAAGAAAAGAAGAAAAAAAAAAGTAATGGTAATAAGTCATCATCAGGCGGTCAACCTAGGCCCTGCCACGTGCTTCGCGTGGTTCGTAACATACAGACATGCATGCATGCATGCAGTCAAGCTGGGGTGTGCGGGTGAGTGTGCGCGTCGGAAGTATAACTATGATGCTATAGGTGTGTGTATGAGGGAGATTAATGGATGGATGACGCTCATGAGTAGAAAGCGCTCTTCTGGAAGCTCTCGGGCGAAATATCACCCATCTTGCCCTTCAGTTCGGGCTTCTTAGCCTCCGCGGCGATCTCCTCAGACGCGCTCGCCTGCATCGAGTTGCTGCGACTGCCGGCTTCGCTGCCCGAGGTGATCGCTTGCTGTTGCGGGCGGCGCTGGATGGTCTCCAGGTACGGCCCGGGCAAGTAACCGACGCGGCCATCACGGGCACGGCAACGCCACCACTCCGAGGCATTACCCATCGGATCGGATTTACTAAGGACAGCGACGATGTCGCCCTTCTTCACGGCCAGGTCGATGCCGGAGCTCTCCTGGGCTTCAGGGGTGTAGTCGTAGAGCACACGGCAGAAGTCAAGCTTGGAAGGGTCGAGCGGTGCACCCTGGCCCTGCACGGGCTCCCCGTTTGGACCCAGCATCAGCTGGCGACGCTCCTCTTGCGACCGAGCAAGAGCTTTGATCAGCTTGCCCATCAAGTAGGGAAGACCGAAGACGGCGATAAGGAACATGAAGAACGGCTTCTTAGAGGGTTTGGGGGGAGCGGGAGTGCCATCCGGCAGGGTGGCGGGGGAGGAGCGGCCGCTGAGGAATGCTGCAAAGGCGGACGGAGTGAGTGCGGTAGCATCAGCCGGCGGGGGACGACCGGTGATCTTCGCGATCAAGGTCTTGAACCAGCGGATGATGGTGAAGATACCGAGGGCGGAGCCAAGCGTGTTTCGGAGGTTGCCGAACTGCTCTGCTACGGAGACCATGGCTGGACAACTGTTAGTGAGAGGACAGCAACACGCACAGACAAAGGTATTAGCGTACCAAAGAAGGAGCTGTGAGTCGCCATGTATGTGCTCTCCAGCATTTGAGCGAATCCTCCAAACGCACCCACGATACTCTCGATCATCTGAAACGTAGCTTGAGTGCTTTGGCTGAATGAATTCGTCAGGCTGTTGGGATCGTTGGGATCACCGGGCATCCCGCCGTACATCCCTCCCATGCCTCCCATACCACCATACATGCCGCCATAGCCCCCCATGCCACCGTAGCCACCGTACATGGAGCCCATGGTGCCGAAGCGGGAGTACGGCGACGAGTAGCTTCCGTAGCCGCCGTAAGGACTGGTGCCGAACCGGGAGGCCGAGTAGGGAGAATAATTGGAGGCGGTGCGATTGACAACTGAATTCAAGGTATTAGGACGAGACGGTAAATCGGGAGCAGTAGATGTCGAGGATGCTGTGGCTGTGGGGGCCGAGGCGCTGGCGGCCGCGGTCGGAGTAGTCGAACTGGCCGTCATCGCGGATGAGGCGGTCGGAGTAGCCGCCGATGATGTTGTCAAAGCAGGAGACCCTTCAAGTGAGTGACATGTCAGCTACCCCGTATGCAGACAGACGTAAAAAGTGGTTTATTGTTGTATTGTGTTCCAAGAGAGCTGTGGACATACCAGCAGCAGCGCCTGCCCTCTCCCACGGTTTGGGTGGCGAAACGGACGCCATGGATATGCGGGAGGGGTTTGGTACCTCAGCAA